TGTATAGGTAATTACAGTAATTACTGCATTTGGTGATAAATACAAGGGACAGCTCAATTCCGAGCAAGAACGTGCATGGAACAACGTAAAAAATGAAGCTAACCTTGAATTGTTTACTTTGAACGAACTGTATGAAAAAATTTAATTTCAAAATAAAATACAATAAAATATTAGTTGAATTTATTTATTTTTGTAAATGTTATCAATTATAAATTATTTGTCTATTATGTTTATTATAAGGTGACCATAAACAGACTTCTTTTTATTTATATTGCTACTACTTAAATAAATTAAGTTGCTTTGTTAAATGAAAATAACGCGCTGTTGATATAATAATTAATATTATATAATTACCATTGTCAACTAATAATTAAGTTTTAACTATTTATAACACTTTATTGTTTTGATTATATAATGTATTTAATCATAGATTTGGTAAATCAAATAAATTGGAATTTTTTTCATATAATTTTGTCAATAAGCTAATTTATCAATATTTATCGTTACGTTTGAAGTTCATGTCTACGTCTATGAATTAAGCTTTATTAAATTGTTTGTCAAATTAATTTAATTGATTCCAAGGCTTATTCGTTTTAACTTTTTTACATAGATTTTGGCTTTTAAAACAGTATATTTAGAGACATTAGTTGCCTATCAATATATAATTGTTTGTAACTTTCAATGAAGTAAGAAATTTCATCACATTTAGTGGTCGTTACTATTGGCGGCAATTTTATTATAATAATACTAATAATGCAATTATTATATATTTTGGTTACAATCCTGATCATTTTACATGACAAAGTCTGTAATGCGGCGGATAATCAGCCGATTCTTAATGGCGTTACCATTAATGTAAGCAATTATTTAAATAGATTTTAAATTCTACTTCATATTATAGTATAAATAAATTGCAAATAATATAAATAAATTTTTTTACTTTTATTTCATTTTAATATAGTTATGATATAATTAAAAACCAAGATAAAAATTAACAAATTTTTTAAATGATAAAATAAATTTACTAAATTATCATTATACTATATGTACATTATATACATTATACTATACTTTATAATACGAGCACCGTTTTGGCCCTATGCTAGGCGTCTAAATGAAACGTATAATAATTGTACGACTGATGCCATACACGGCTATGTCGTGGACCTAATGAATGAAATCGCAAATATTGTCGGAATTCAATACAATCTGTATCTCTCGCCGGACGGCAAGTATGGATCGGTTATCAACAACAGTGTGAACGGTATGATTGGCGAGGTTTATGAGGGCGTAAGTAATATTTAACAATCACATTCAGACTCAATAACATGCCTTAAAATATGCACCCCCGAGTGTGTTATAATTTTGTTGATCACACCTATGTTGATTAACGCACATGTTAAAAATTTGACGTATCAAATTTAATGTATCAAATTTTGTATTTTAATAATAATTTCTGTATAATCAATTTATTTTTGTATTTTAATATTTTTGTATTATTATTGCAAACGTCATACAGAGGGCCGACTTCGCGGTGGCGGACATAACAGTGACCGACGAACGGGCAAAGTATGTCGACTTTACCCAACCATTTATAGACTACAACCCATTGGTAGTACTTCTCCACAAACATTACGCCCAAAACATCGGCTTATTCGCCGATTTGGCGTTAGTTATTATTATACTAGACATTATTTTTGCTCTATTGTGGTAAATATATTACAACCATGATCCGTAAATGCAAATAGTATACATTTGTTTACAAAATATTAATATTAAATTGATTTTGTAGATAATGACATTTATTAAAAATAAAATAAATATAATGTTGGAGATTTTTAATAATAAAAGTTTTTAGTTTTATGAATAAATAAATAAATTGCCATTCTTTTATTTTTATAAACTTATATACATATGTATAATGAACTTTTTACCAATTATTAATTTAATCGACATTTAAACTTAATGCCTATTGATATACTTATAATATATTACTATACATAAGTTCAGATGGATCATTATGACATAATAAAAATTATTTTTCAAGTATTAACAAATAATCTTAAATAAAGTATCATAATAAATTGAATATAGAAAATGACTAAACCGTGATAATTTGAAGTATTAGGTAAGATAGAATAAATAGTTCAGTTCAATATATTTAGGTATATAAAGGTGCATGGGTGTTAAGGTGGCATTATTATTTACTACAAACATACCTTATATTAAGTAAAAAATCAATTATATAATTATGATGTGTAAGTAATTATTACTATTATGTATATATAAACTAATATTAATTTTAAAAGTTTACAAAGTTTATGTTAAAAAACTTTATATTAAAAATTAAACTATTAACATTTATAAATCTTATGGCAGCTTCACTAATAACTGTTGGCCTAACTATCACACTGTTGGCCACCCTGTTTGCAACAGCATGGGCAGATTTTTGCCCCCAGGCCGAGTTATTAAAACCGTGCAGCTGTTCAAAAGACCCCGATACAAAAGAATTGGCCCTGGTATGTTATGGCTTTCAACAATTCAACATTGACAAAGTGTTCGCGCGTTTAAGTGGCCGAGGGCTACGGTTTCACGAGCTCATTTTGAATAACAATTGGCTGACCGAGTTGGGTCCCAACGTGTTTCACGATGTTCAGTTTGAGAAAATTACGCTAGGCTGGAATAGTGAGATACGAAAAATTCATAGACTGGTAAGTTTATTTATAATGAACTGTCTATGTAACATCAGGTTAAATTATTTTTTTTACTGTAGGCATTTAACGGGACCGAGAACAATTTGATCGAGTTTAAAAGTACGCGATCGCCAATCGACGATGATGATATATTTCGCGCGTTAAACTTGTGCGAAAATTTACAGTATATAGAAATCAGCGGCAGCCATTTGACCAAGTTTAATCCGAATATTAATTCGCTATCAAAACTGCGCGAGTTCAAAATGACACACGGTAAACTGCGCGAAATAGGCAGCTATGCGATATACAATTCTGAAGTGGACTTGGTGCTAGATTTGAGTCATAATGAGATAGATACAATTGAAGACTATGCGTTTGACAATCTAGCTGGTTGTCACTTAAATCTATCTTATAATAAGCTCAATGAGCATAATTTTCACCGCTGGACTTTTGTTGGCACCATGGTGAATGTGCCCGTGACCATTGATTTAAGGGGTAATGATTTTAAACATATACCCGAAGCGACTTTCAAATGGCTACTGGAGGCACACCCTATTCCCGCCCCCGTCGGACCCCGTGTTTTGGTTGACCCCCTGGACTGCCAGTCGTGTGCCAATTGGTGGCTATTAAGTGATAATAAGCACGCACAATATTACCCGGAGCTTAAATGCACAGACGGTTTGAGATTTGATTATCGCAAACATTTTCATAAATGTTAACATATTGCGTTAAATATTTTAAAATGATATTATTAAAAAAATAAATAAGACAATACTGTATAGTTTGTACAATTACTAATATAATTACAGTATTTAAATACTGTAAATACAGTAAATAAATAATAAATATCTAAAAATGTACAATATTAAAACTAAATTTAGGTTTAATTCACAAATGTTGTTAATGTGAATAATTTATTAAATTTGTTTTATTAACGTTTACTTTGCTTTCTCTCTCTCTCTCTCCCTCTCCCTCTCTCTCTCTCTCTCTCTCTCTCTCTCTCTCTCTCTCTCTCTCTCTCTATTTGATAAGAACTTAAGTCCTNTCTCTCTCTCTCTCTCTCTCTCTCTCTCTCTCTCTATTTGATAAGAACTTAAGTCCTTATATTAGATATAAAAACTTGGATACAATAAGAACAATAAAGACTATTGTTATACAAACTTATATTATTTAAACACTTGAAAATATAACAAAGGTCTTATTATTATAACCAACATAAAAAATTTATTATATAAAATTTAATCATTTAATAATTACAATCAAAAATAAATATGGATACAGAACATTTAGCGTAATTTGGCCTCGATAAAAATAGGCCCAATGAGCATTTCAATATTACGCTCATTAACTGGACCCAGGCCGTATGTGTGCCATGCTAAATTTGAGTATGCAAACTCGCCAATAAACAAATCATTATCATCAATGTCCTTGTACAAATCTTTGACCATGTACGCGTCCAGTTGCTCGTAACAATTGTTCTCTATATGATCGCGCATGCTCAGTTCGTTAATGGTCAGACATTTGTTGTTGGCAAAATTGACCGTGGCCGCCTGAAAGCTGTTGTATATTTTCTGGCTTATTTCAGCAGCCTCGTCTTGAAATATATTTTGATAACTTAATATTTCAAGCTTTGCATTACGCGCTTGGTTAATTCTGGTTAATATATGCTGACCCTGGTTAAATTAAAATAATATAGTTAGTTATAAATTCAATTAATTTTCAATTGTAATTTAGCATGAAATTTGTAGTTTGTTATTTTATATTACTACTTTACATAATAATTAATTAAATTCTATTATATACAGTATGTTTCTTTAATAAAGTAATTAATTAATTATTTATGTGTTTAATTATCATATTTACCGCCTCGGTGATATTGCCGTTAATTGGACTTGATAATACTGTTTGTGCCAACACGCATAACAAAACTGTTTGTACATACATGTTTATTTTAAAAGTATTTAACATCAATTAAATATATAATATTTAAAAATTACAATTGCTAAAATAGTTCATTTAACAAAAGTTTATATACAGCCGTAATGTACAAAAAATAATTATTTATTTGATGTGAGTGTAACATGTGTGTTACTGCGTTAAATCTATTAGACCTCGTACAATTGTTGATATACTTTATATTGATCTAAACTTAATAGGGATGTAAGTTTATCAATACGTAAGTATTATTGATAAAAATAATTGATTTGGTTTGTACAGTATTATAATTAGTTAGGACATTAACTAACATAACAATGACATAATGTTAGGACATTTGTCCTAATAAAAAATCAAATTTTTTAGATATATTTATAATAAAATAATTATCATAACAAACATTAAAAACATATCATTACATTTAACAATATAGTAATTTGGATAACGTTTAAATTAAAAATGATTATTAAAGTAAAATAAACCTGAACATTTTTATTAGAAATATATTGCAAAAATTTGATTATTTTTTACCACAATTCATATATGGGCGAATGTGGTATATAGGATCGTTCGAAAAATATATAAAATTTAATTAATTATGATGAAATTAAATGGTAAAAACTTTACAATGAATCTATGAATATGAAATATTCGTACTATTGACAGGTTTCAAACCAAAAACACCCTGCATATATGCCTTAATTGAGACATTATGGTCAAAATGCTGGTCAGTATACGCGCGCCATTCCTGGTATATATTGGGATCGGTGGGACCCCAATCTGGTGCCGGTTTAAACGCGTTTACACATTTCTAACATGATAAACATCATTAACTAAACAGTGTCCATATTATCAAAGTTATAAACTATAAATTAATTATTACCTGTCGTAAATTATGACCAGGTTGCTGCTTGATGGTAATAATCATCCAGAGGGGTATCTGTATCATAGCGATCACAGCTAACAAATAATTAATACAGTGTTTAATCAAAACGAAATTTGAGTTTTTAATATATGCTAATAATATGTAAATTTTAATATACCTAATACCCAACCAATGCCTGTACCCCAGGCTGGAATGCCTTGTTGTCTGTTGCCCACCCTTGCTATATCAACATTTCCGTATATGAATATGATCTATATAATTTAATTAACATAATTATTGCTAACAATGGTATATATAATTTGTAAATTATAATCAACACACTATTAATGTCAAACTAATTAAATTATTATTAACATTGTTGACGTATACTTACAATTAGGGCAATGGGTCCGATTAGACCCCAGGTGATTTGCCAATACCAGCCAATCGGTCGTTTGAGCATAAATTGTATATCAAAACAAAATCGCCGCAAACCGTACGCCCAAAACACGGCTCCCATTTGGCATATGGCGTAAAATATGGCAGCGGTGCCCACCCCGTAGTTTTTCAACAGCTCCATCACATAAGTGCCAGCCTTTTAAACAAAATTATATTTTATAAGTAATTTATAAAAGGTGGTAGAAAAAATCTACTATAATTTTAGGTAAAATATTTTTATATTAAATAATAATGATAATTTGATAAAAACTATTTAACTGATCAAGATCAGTTCAGATGATTTCACATACATCGGTGGTGAGGGGCAGTCCACACAAGCAGAATATAACACATGCAACTAAGGCTAGAATTTCTTTTTTCTGTCTCATCCAGGTAAACTCGTCTTTAATTGCAGTCAAAATTGTCTCCACCTGGGAGACAGAGCTGCCGATTCCCAGTGTAAACATCATGATGAAAAATAATACTGACCATAGCTGAGGCACTACCGGTATTTTACCCAAAGCGTCAGGGTACACTACAAATGTTAATCCCAAACCTAGCAAGTAATAATATAACGTAAAATTATTATAACAAGCACACCATTATTTAGTAAACTTACCTCCGTCGACCACATTCTTAATGTCTTTGCCAGTAGTTTTTGCTAAATGACCCAGGTTAGAAAATATAACACAACCCGCTAATAGGCTGGTGAACGTGTCCAACACGGCTATAATCATAGAATCCCTATAATAGTCAAAATTAGCTATTTATTCAAAATAAAATGCTTATATTATAATTGAACACAAGTTACATACCGGTAGACATTATTACTGAACTCGTTATAACTCGAATACATAACTAGTGTACCAAAACAGACGGCCAGCGAGAAAAATGACTGCTCGACAGCCCTGTACCACACGATTGGCTCCAGTAGTTTCTCCCATTGAGGTGTGAAAAAGTATTTGACCCCATCTATGGCACCGTCGGTGCTCAACGTCACGCCCAACAGCGCTATCAACACAGTGTATGGGAATATTGCTGTGAAATAAGCCACCTAGGTGAATTACAAAAACATCCATAATTATTCTTATAATTAACTTTTAGTTTAATTACTTTAATAACAATTTTTACATACCTTGCCCATAGAACTAACCCCCTTAATAATGCTCAGGTAGACAAGTGTCCACGAGCAAATTAAACAGATTACTATTTGCCAGCTCATTGAATTCATGTCATTCAGACCAGTTGATTGGTTTAGCAAGTGTCGCCTAATTATAATCATGGTATTAATGAAATGTAAATAATAATAATAATTGTTATTACAAAAAGTGTAAACTAACAAATAGTATAATTCAGCCCAATTATGTTGTTGCACAATAGGCCCCGCGGTTACATCGGAATTGTGCATGGTAGTATTGGCGCTGCAGGTGCCACCAGGCGCGTAATTATCGTCGCATTGTGTCCAGGGTAGTGGATTTTTAAACGACATGACAAAGTAATATAGCGTTAACGCCATGATATAGTTGTAGAATATGATCACGTATGAAATGGAGAATAATTGCGCAAAACCAATTCCTATGACCGTCAAAATATAATTTTAAATTGTATATTTTAATCCAAAATAATTTAATAAGGCGTTAAAAACTTATAAAACAAATAGCACAATTTTATTAATGTACTGTTTTTGCTAACTATTTATTATATAAACATGAAGTTTTTTTTATTAGTGATATAAGAATTAAAAATAAAACAATTTTGTATTAACCTTTGAACGCCGGCACGCATTTCCACACTTTGATGGGCCCGCGGCCACTGAACTGACCCATCGCCAGCTCCATGTAATACAGGGGCCGTCCGATTATAAACAACAATATGAGATATGGTATTAGAAATGCGCCTAAAATTTTCAACATTTGTACATTTAATAATTTATATTTTAACATTTATGTTGTGAAACATTCGCGTACCTCCTCCATTAGTATAGGCTGGTTGCAGTTTAATTTAAATAGTTGCATATTAAAATAAAAACTTGTTAATTTATATGGACATAACATTTTTACAACATTAATCTAAATACCGGCATGTGGGAAGCCCCAAACCTAGATGTTTCAAAATGAATAATTAAAAATAAATTAACATGTTCAGATGTTGATATTGATTTAAACATTACATTTCCCAAACCAACGGACATCGCGATACAGGAAAGTAGAAACTCAATACCTTTGGACCACTGGCCACGCTCTTTGACCCCATCGGGCACACTATCAGATGGTGCTGTTGTGTGTCCATTGTTATTGAGATCAGTCTATGTGATAATTAATTGAATTGTTTTAATCAGGGTATTTGTTTAAAAGTAATTAAAATTATATACCGATACTGTTTTCCCGTTATTTGTAACAGACATCTAAATTATTTATAAAGTTTATAATAAATAGTTGTTTATTAAAAACATTGCTAAAATTTTAACAGATGTTATTGGTTTTTCATTAATGTAAGTAATATTTTAATAAATAAAATTCTAAGTCCTACTATTTATAACAACTGACATGTACAATTAAATATTTAATTAGTTTTGTATCTTTGTAATTTTATTATAGTTAGATAGCATTATAATTTTATAAAACATAAATCACGCGCCGTTATAATGGTCAATTGTATTTATTATTTTATTAGTATTATAAAAATATTTATTTATAACAAATAGTATTATTATTTATTTTGAATGTAATTCTAACGCTAATAATACTATTAATTGATGCTAATAATAAATACAACATATAATAAATTTTATCTCCCTCATTTGATAAGGACTTAAGTCCTAAAAATAAATACAAAATATTTATTTAAAAAATTATAAGTACTGTTGTTATCCAAACTGTAATTTTTAAAAATTTTTTAAAAATGACATATATCAATTTTTATAGTTCATGTAATTGGGTCATTTTAGACTGAGAAAACTAAAATAACATTAAATGATTTTAAATAAAATTTTTATTTTATTAATAATAAATAAAATTATGTGCCACACAAAAAATTAATATTATTTATAGTTATACTATTTGTTGTGTAATTTGGCCTCGATAAAAATGGGTCCAAAGAGCATTTCAATATTACGCTGAATTTCGCCAGCGCCATACGCGTGCCATGCTAAATTTGAATAAGCAAACTCGCCAATGAACAGGCCATTATCAGAAACGTCCCTGTATAAATCTTGGGCAAGGTACGCTTGAATCTCTTCGTAACAATTGTGATCAATCCAATCGCGCATGTTTAATTCGTCAATGGTCAAGCACTTTTTTGTTTCAAAATTGACCGTGGCAGCCAAAAAACTAGTGAATATCTTCTTGGTTATTTCATCGGCTTCGGTCGTGTTTAAATTGCTATACATTAGTTGCTCTGGCTTTGAATTACGCGCTTGGTTAATTCTGGTTAGTATATGTTGACCCTGTTTGCATTATAATCAATAATTTTAGTTTATTTTAAGTAGATTTATAGCTTTTTAAATACTTTTAATTTTAATCATTAATAAGCATAGTAATTTTAATAATAATCAATTAATATTAATATTTACCGCTTCAGTAATTTTACTGTCAATTGGGCTTGATAATACTATTTGCAACAATGTGCATAATATAAACGTTTGTACAAGCATGTTTAACAACTTTATTTTAAGTAAATATCATATATTTAATATATTATATGAACAAAATTAACAATTAACACAAAAGTCAGTTTAACAACTGTTTATATACGTGTAAAATAAATGGGTGCATGATTGATTTGGAGTATATTATATTATATCTATTATCGTTAATTGATATATACATGTATATATTAATCCCAATTTAATATATAGGAATTAAAAGGGATTAATTATTATCAAGATATATGTATTGTGATAAAACAAATTAATTAGGGTAAAATAGCGTGAGAACATTTGTCCTAATAAAGTTAAATAATGTTGTTACATACTGTATATTAAATGATGTTACATTATAATAATTTGTTATGTATAAATTTTTATAATTAATTCATATATAATTTAAAAATTTTAAAAATAAAAAATTTCTAAATAGCAATAATAAAGATTAAATTATAATTGCATTGCATTAATTAATATTATTATTACACCTGTATATAATAGTATGTTAAAGTTGTACATATTGCACTTACTTAAACAATATATAAATATAATCTTATCAATTAAGCATCCTTCTACTCAAATATAATGTAAATAGTTTAATTTCTTTTGATATCTATGTTGTATTGAAGGTTGATTAAAATAGTTACTCAAATAATAAGGACTATTGTTAGTCATTTTATTATTACTAAATATCTAAAATAACATAAAGCAAAATTATATTATATAAATGCTTATATAGAAATAGCTTAATTTAATTAGATAATAAGTCATAGCTAGGCAGTTTTGAAAACATATTCATTTACATTGTATAACCACAATTAATATACAGAATGTATGTAGAATGTTATACAATACTAATTTGTAACTTGTTTGTTCAACATTTATTTAATGTTAGTTTAAAAAAAAATTTTAAAATAAATTTGAATAAAAAATAAAAATAACTTTATTTAACATAATATTTTTATGTGCATATATTATAATCCGGTAATTTTTGTAATACTTGCTTTGACCATCAACAAAGTATTTATTACTTTCTATAATCTATATAATAAGCACATATTATCAAATAATATAAATTTTATACTTTGTGGTATATTATAATTTATAAATGTATACAGTATGTAAACTGGATTAAACAATCTATATTTATTTGCTTGGATTATTTACAATTTTAGTATACTATTAATATTTGACAGAATTTATTAAATAAATAACTAAATAATGTGTTCATTAAATTGCATGTCTTTGCTGAATCTTGATATTATAAATTTAGGAACCGAGCTTGGTGATTGTTGTTTAACCGTATATGTAGATGAAGGTAGTTGTGTATTACAACTCGGTGAATCTAATTGCGCTCTGGGTATACTTATCCAGTGATCTTGTTGATTGTTGCCAAGCGAGCTTGGTGCATTACCGCTTATTTTAAAGCAACCTGTCGACGTACCCTCAGACATTGTAGTTAAACATGAAGCATAGCAACACGCTATGTAGCCGTTATAAAAAAGGATCACGGTCATTGCTAAGACAAAATAATCATACATGCCAAATAATACAGCCAGTCCAATTAGAAATATATGGGCCACGCCATAGTTGATTATAATTATGTAACTTTGTTTGCACGCGCCATAAACGCCAATAAACTGAATTAATATTGTTATACCACCAAAGATTGCAATCATACTATCCATCAAGTCTTGAAACTATGTAAATACAATTAATTCTACATTTAGTATATTAATTAACTATAATGATTATTTATTATTTACTATATTTGCTTGATGAATAAAATAATAATATCGGCCTGAAATAATCATGTTCAATATAAACATTAATATTATTAACGAAATGGTCACGGTGCAGCAGCCATACAGTGTATGTTTGTATTTATGTAGTTTACTTTCCATTTGATCCTACTGTTGATCAAACACATAAAATATAATTTAACAAGTTTAAATTTATAATGTTTTTTAATATATAACATCAGGCTTAAAATGTTATAGTTACAATTGTTTATTATAATCAAACACTTGCGTATAACCGAGTTATTGGAAATCAAGTATTTAATTAACACTAAAATAAAAAACACAGTACCATGAATCATTAAAACTATATTTGACAATTCTGGCAAAAAATATTTTAACATAGTATTTCAATATAAATATTTACAATTCAAATGTTGTTATAATGAATATTTACAGTATTTTTGGTAAAAATTTTTAAAGAATATTTGCTAAATTAATATTTTAATAATTAGCAATAATAATAAATAACACGAGCTTGTATTTTATAAATTTATTTGCAAATGTTTAGTTAGTAGTTAAAAGTTAATGCAATTCTTACATTTTACAGAATTAGCAAACAGTTCATTATATTTAAAAATGTTAAATAAAGTTTTATATACTGTATTTTTATTTATACAATTTACTCATTGTTAAACACTTGTCAATCCATTGGTTCGGGTACTTCTCTCGCAGCCATTTATTACGACTATCCGCACAATTAATATCTGAATAAATTGTATTTAACTTATTATCCCACAAAAAAGACCCGTATATACGTTCATTAATAAACTCCAGGCTATTATTTGTGACAAACAGATTAGTCGGTCGGTAAATACCATTAAACGCGTAACTATCAATTTTTGGTGATGATAACTTTGCGCGCGCTATCTCCAATACCAAAATATTTCCCGATGGAGAGTTGCCAACTGTTCGTGTTAAACCAGACTTTCCATTATTACCCACAGCAAACGCGTGTGGTTGTATGTCGCTTATCGGGTTATTTTGAATGCTTAACATTTTGAGCTTGGTAAGATTACTAAACGCGTACGTCTCCAGCGTGGTCAGTTTGGGGTTTGAATGAAACGCTATTGACTCTAGTTTTGAGTTAGCACGTACGGCAAGAGTGGGTATGCGCGTGATATTAGTGCCAGTTATGGTCATTTTGGTCAAACCTTTAAGGCTATGTATAGCATCAAAAAGACTGTAAGTACCATCCTCAAACTCTGTGACCGGCGCGTGTAATATAGTTATTTCAGTTACAGTATATTTGCATGGCCCACGAAAAGCATCCCGGTGAATTTTGTTCAAATGAAATGCAAATATACTTATTTCTTTGAACCCGATATCGCCGAATGCTTTTGCAGGCAGTATTTCAATAGCCGTATTACTCAAGATGAATTTATCTAGTACCTTTTGGCAACCTTTTAGCTTTTTCGTAAAGTTGCCAAATATTTCTACCAAGTTTATTTGTTCGGTTCCATTGCATTTGATAGAATGTTTTCCCAAATGTGTCGTATAATGGCAAGGTTCAAACTGCGTTATTGATGTTGGACACTCTACTTTGTCATCACCGGAATTAATAATTATTATTAGTAGTGTTAATAACAATACGGTTGTTATTGCTATTAATATAATCTTTCCTGCTCAATATAAATCTAATTAATAGTTATAAATCATAAAGGCTTAGGAAAATATACCTTTCTTTTTCTGGTCCATCTTAGATTTTTACTTTACTTTAACAATGTTGTATAAATTATAATTAAACTTAACAGACAATGGTATTTTAAGGTATACACAACAAAATTTTAAATAAATAAATTTTTGTTGTTGATTTTTATATTCCGTATGGTGTTTTTATATTTGTTAAAGTAAAATACAATATTGCAAAACACATAAATGGCTACTGCTCTTAATTTAAATAGTATGAAGGGTTTGTTTCTATATAATAAAGTGCATTTAACACATTAACTAATTAAATACATATTTAAAATATTACATGATTTAGGAAACATTATACAATACAATCAAGACATTACATTAGTATAAGATTGAATTTAAATTAAACTTTGAGTCTCTCTCTCTCTCTCTCTCTCTAGTAAATAATTTTTACTTATAAATTTATTATTAACTATTCTTTATTGTTCATATTATTTCATATTGTTAATGTTATTAAATAAAATAACAAAAAATACATTATTTATTTAAATTCAGTGCGTTTAGTCACTTTGCAATTGCTGTCCTGCCATTGGTCCGGATATTCCTCTCTAAGCCAATCATTACGACTATCCGCGCAATTAATGTTCGTATGAATAGTGTTTAACCGGTTTTCGCGTAGAAACGGCCCATAAATACC